TAAATGACCCGTCATAGCATCATAGTCATCAGGTCATCATGATCAATCATTTATCAGGTGCATTTAAGCTCATTATAGATCAAACTAGTCAATCTGCTTCCACTCCTCTGTACCCACGTCTCCACAATTTTTTTTTCTATCAAGTGCCCATCCAATTTCCTTTTGAAATTATCAATTGTCTTCTTTTCCCCCATAATTGTGGGCCATAAGTTCCAAATCAATAACATTCACTCCAAAAACAAATCCTGCCTAGAACTTTAAACATATGTTCACCCTAATCCTTGCATCTTCAGCTCACATGAATAGATTTCTTTTGCCAACTTCATCTAAACCTGCCATTAACATTTTCCTCAGTGTTCTTTGCTTCAAGGAAATAATCCCACTTTCTCCAATATGACTTTGTAGATAAATTACCTCACCCTTCAAATATTTTAGTCAATCTCATCTGTGATCTCTTGAGTACCATCAAATCCTTCCCAGAGTGTGATGTCCTAAACTGGATGTGATCTGTAATTGTGGCCTTATGAGAGATATACATGTTTCAGCATAACTTCACTGCTATTGTATTCAATACCCCATTTAAGAAATCTAAGATTCCATATGTTTTACTCATTCTCAGTATTCCTGTCACCTTCAACATTTATGCATTGACCTGCAGGTCCTTCGTTAGTGCATGTTCTTTAGAACTGTGATATTATGTCAGCATTGCCAACTCCAAATCTCCTCTGCCAAAATGCAAAATCTCTTGCTTCCTTGAATTAAATTCTATCTGTGACTCTTATGATCATTTTGCCACCCTACCTATTTCACCTTACAGTCACTTGGCATCTCCCTCATTGTTTTCCACACCTCCAACTTTGATAACATCCATACATCATCTTATTTCAATCTCACTGTGTTATCTTATATTTTATTGATTATTTTCTCTTTATCTGTTATTTGGTATAATATTTATGAGTTACTATGTATATTTATACAAGGGTACATGTGTGGGATATAGCAAATAAAACTTAAATTCTCTCATTACTAAATCATAATAACACTTTTTTTCAAAAAGAAATCAAAAGTCCAAATTGGTTGACAGAGAAATGCATTAGAATGTGTCCAGATAACTTTTAACTTTACAGGGACATACATCTTCTTTCTTATTACTAGTCAGTTATCCTAAGAAAGTCCTGAAAGGCAAATGAAATATATTCCAACAAAGTGTAGAAAGAACAAGTACAGTTTAGAATATTTTGGGAAGTAGAAAATTATGTGTGGAATAATTCCTTTATGATTATTTGTTAAATCTCTACCAAATCCCTCAACACAAAATTAGATTGGTTCTCTGAGTATCTGGAAAATAAGAGATATCAATGGTTTAATTACGAAAACAGTAGGTTTAAAGTAATAAAATTTGAGTAAACCATTCTAGAATTGACCATAGTAGTTTCTTAACTAAGAAAGAACAAAGCCTACCATAGACACATGAATAGGAGTACTGATCTTTTCACTTTCTTAGTCATATTTGCCATTGAAAACATATATTTTATCATTTTGACCAGTAAATTAGTTATAGATAAAAATGATACAACATTTTATTGATGTAAAAATATTCAAGTAACTGGTTTGTTGTATTCTTGCAAAGTCTTTATGAAATAAAATGTTTCTAGCTTTAGCAGCACAATGGGTTAGCTGGCAGTTCCCATATGGAATTCTGACGACATTCCAAATCTAAGGAAAAATTTATTACTTTGGAGGCTGGTAAAGGTCTTGTGTAAAATGCTTAGGACCTGTCTCAATTCAATGCCCTATGAATAAGAGGCCACATCATCAAACCATTCACAAGTCAGCAACAACATGTGTCAAAAAAAAACTGTAAGTGTGGTGATTGGGGAAATAATACAATTCACATTGACACAGCTGAGGGAATTTACTGAACTAAACAGCACTTAACTGTTTTTCATATGTGAGCACAAATCAGTCCATCTGAATCTCTTGTCTGCCATTTGTGTTTACCTAACGAGAAATGATTCTCTTGGTTAAAGATGTCCTATGTGAAATGAATTTGTGGAACTTTGAATCAATTTCTCTCGACATGAGTCCTATAAAACTGTCTTTCATGGATATATTTGGCAATCTCACTCAGATAAGTCACAGGTAGCTAAATATTGCATTAGTACAAAAACTGTGCTCTTCTGGTTTAGAATTGAAGAATATTCTTGAAATATTAGCGAAAATATTAATTCCCCATCCATGTTATAACCATAATAAAAAAAAAACTAAAAGTGCTGGAGTAACTCAGTAGGTCTGGCTGCATCTGTGGAGAGAGAGAAAAACAAAGTTAACATTTTGGTTCCACTATGATTCTGCTTTGGAAGAGACCTTCATTACATCTATTCCATTACACCAGCCCTGGGCATCCTTTATGCTGCCACCAAGTGCCCAAAAGAAAAATATTACATTCAACTTGACGAACACAGATGTCACAATAAAAATAAAAATGAAAGGGAATATTTAATGACGCTGTATATAAAGCATACAGAACATCAGCTGGAATAGATGACAGTGTTTCACTCTCCATCTGACTCGTCTTAGGTGAAATCATGTAAAAATAGAAGAATAGGTACTCCTTTGCCAAGAATCTCATCAAGCTGTCATAAATATTTACCTTGTTGAAAAATGAAAAATCTAAAAGACATAATTCTTTTAGAAGTAATAAAATTGTTTTATGTGCAAACAAAGCTGCTTGTTTTGCTTGGCTATTTCTGCATTTTTAAACAAATAGTCAATGAATTATCAGTGGTCATGACATTGTGTAAATCAATATATATCGCTTCTGCACAGCCATTAGTACAAAATGCTTCCATTTGTTGTCAGTAATTTCCATTACAACATATTACTTTCAAGCATATTTTTCAGAAATGCACTTAAAAAACCATATATGTAGAACTTTGTATACTGGAAAATGCAATGAAATTATTGTGTAATTAATTTGAATAACAGATGTAGTGCAACAGGTTTGATAGTTGTATGAATCTTTATGTTATTCAGCAAGTGGTCAAAATAGATTCAACTGAACATCCAGATCAAGGAGATTTTTCTTTGACAAACAGACGTTCCTTATCCCATTCCAGTCTGAAACAGTAAGGGGTCTGCTATTTGCATACACTTGCATGATTGTTTATTTATGAGATTTTTAAAGTCACAAAAATAAAAACTGCAGATAAACGATGTTTTTCATTGTGTCTCAGTACGTGACATTAATAAATCAAATCAATTTTTTTAAAAAACGAAGGGCATATTTTTAAGGTGAGAGGGAAAAGATTTAAAAGGGATTTGACGGGCAACTTTTTCACACAGACAGCGGTTTGTATGTGGAATGAACTGTCAGGTACAGTTACAACATTTAACAGACATTTGGACAGGTACAGGAATAGGAAAGGTTTAGAGAAATATGGGCCAAATGCAGGCAAATGGGACTAGTTTTGTTTAGGAAGCTTGGTTGGCATGGATGAGTTGGACCAAAAGTTCTGTTTCCCTGCTGCATGACTCTATGACTCTAAACAGACCACCACGTATCCTCTTTTCTTATAACAATAAAACTATGTACCATGCATCTGGCAAAGCATGCAGAATAGCAAGAGTCCAGATTTTTTTCTCCATTGTGTGTTGAGTTTGATCATCTCAGCAGATACATTTTCAGTAGCATTTCCTTAAGTGGGAGTGAATCAGCAAAGATTCCTGCTCTCATTTTCCATCCAGTGATACCTACTGAAACCCAATTTGTGTGAATGTTGCCTCTCCCTAATGGTTAAGAAAAAGTGCCAACATTCATAATTAAGAAAGGTGCCAGGAGTGCTCCCTTTTACTGAATCATAACCAAGTAAGGAGGTAAGAGATTTAGGAAAAGAGTTGGAAAGGAATGGTAAGAAAATATTCTACATCAAGCCATGTTCTTGAGAGTCTTCATCTCACCTCTGTGGAATTTTGGAGATTTAACTCATTCTGATTTGGGTTACTTTATGTAAGAGATTTGCAGCAATAAAACATGCTTATACAGATCATTTCAATTTATGTGATCTAAGCGAATTGATACCAGCAGACTTGTTTCTTGCATTTTCTTTCCTTCATTGAATTAATGAATATTGAAGTTGCTCTGTAAATTTTCTTGCGTAAAGACAGACTGAATGGATATTGAAGAGACTAAAAGTATATTGGACAAAAATAAACAACAATTTGAATTATCTGTCTGATCTCATTGAAAGGAGAGATTTTGTAGGTTTGCTTTTCCAGTAATTTCTCCAAATTCTCTCTTAGCCTTAAGGAAAAAAAGGAAGTGTGGGAATTTTCAGAAAATCTGGCAGCATCTGTGGAGAGAGACTAAAAAGATGTCTTCAAGACTGAAAAGTAGTGGAAATGTGATGGGTTTTATGATGTTGATAAAGGGAAAGGTGCAGGTGGAGTCAGGGAAGGTCAGGGAAAGGTTATAGGGCAGAGCAGATTAAACAAAGATGTCATGGAAAAAAAGGCAAAGGCAGTGGCTATGGTTGTAGTGAAAAAAGCACTGGCACAGAGTAAAGGTTAATGACAAAATAAAGGACTGCTCTGACGATACGGAATGCGATTTAGCAAAAAAAACGTCAAAAGGGAAGTTGAGGTGATTTCGGGTTGTTGAGTGAGTACTCAATGGTGACTACAGAAGGCTATAGAGGTTATGAACTCTGACTTACCTAGCCACACCTCATGTAGTAGCACCCTTTGAGTCAATCAGTTTACGTGATATTGCATTTGGTAACACTTTTAAAAAATTCACTGGGGATGTGGACATTGATGGCTGGATCAGCATTTATTGCCCATTCCTACTTGCCCTTGAGAAGGTGGTGATGAGCTGCCTTTTTGATTCACTGCAGCCCATTTAATGCAAGTAGAACCACAGTGCTGTTGTTGGGGAGATTCCAGAATGTTGTCTCAACCCCACCTGAAAAAAACGACGATATATTTCCAATTCAGGACGGTGAATGACTGGAAGCGGAATGTTCCACGTTACAAAACACTTCACAGAGTCTTGCTTCCTGGAATCTTGATTTGAAAGTACAATCTAGGGTCACATTGTTAGCATATCTTTTATATTTCCTGCTATTTGTGATTAGTTCAAATCGTCACCGTAAAGAAATGGAGTTCATTCTCTCTCAGGAAGAAAAAGAACGTTTGCCAAAAGATTGTGCAGTAGCAGCAAGTGTGTAAAATGTTCAGAATCCAATATCTCAGGTTAGCTTATGTTCATGTTTTTTTTTTCTAACGTTTAACATTAGTCTCTTACGAATGTGCTGCGTGTTTGAATTGGTTTCTATCTGATTTCAGTGTTGATCCACTTCCCAGCGTTCAGTGTGACCGAGTGAGAATGTTTCGAAGCGTCCAGACAGCAATCAGCTGGTTCCGTGTTATAACAGGGCGATGCGATGGCTGCTGGTGTGAACGGACTCGGTGGAAGGAACCCTTTTTGCGCTAGCTTTACTTAGACCGATACTCCCAAATTTGGACGACCGCTCGCAGCATTCTTAGCAAGACAAATGTCTCATTTGGGCCTGAAAATTATGTAGATTAACAACCTGAAGGCCTTTTGTAACTCATCAATGATGCTCTGCTTCATTGTTTGCTAGTTCGATTCATTGGCAGATGACAAAATATAACCTCACTCAAGTTTACGGAGAAGTAATCTGAAAATAATCTAACGAAAATGTTCCGACAATTAAATATGATAGCTAATTATCAACTACAGATGTCAGCACTTATTACAGCTAAAAATTAATGCCTTGTCCAATAAATAGCAAACTGCTCTGTGTGTGATGAAAGGTCTTTAGGAGATGAAACATCCTTCTGCCTTAGTCTTTGGACGAGTTAAGTGAGAAACATGAATTTATTTTGAAACCAACAGGAACGATTTAATAAAGTGCTCGCGGGATTAAGGTCTTCTGATCTCAGCAAATAACTTGTCATTTTACACCTTGTGTACAGAGATAAAACGATCCTGAAAGAGTGGCAAGTAAATCCCAGACTTATCATCTGTCACCTGGTCAAGAAACGGTCGTGAACCTTTACCCTGATAACGACCAGGGAAGGATAGTGGCGGCTGAATGTGTTCTTTAATCAGTCACTTCTAAAACACTCATTTCGAAAACATTCTCCCAATGATTGGTTTAACATTGCTCAGGATTTTTCAGTCTTTTCATACCGCCATTTTAAATATATATTATATATATATCTTTCACGGGACGAGGGCTCTTTGGCTAGGCCAGCATTTGTTGCCCATCCCTAATTGCCCAGAGGGCAGTTGAGAGTCAACCACATCGCTGTAGGTCTGGAGTCACACATGCAGGCCAGACCAGGTAAGGACGGCCGTGTCCTTCCCCAAAGGTCCTTCAACCACCCCCCACACCACACCACCAAAACCACCCCGGCAACATTCGATAATTATGTCATGGTCATCATTAGATTCTTAATTCCAGATGTTTATTGAATTCAACAACCATCATCTGCCATGATGGGATTCGAATCACGGTCCCCAAAACTTTAGCTAGATCTCGGGCTTAATAGTCCAACGATAATACCACTGGTGTTCACCAATTGGTGATTCAAATATTCAAATAAAATCAGACAATTTACACGCTGCAAAAAATCGGAAAACAGTTCATTAATACATTTATCGATTGATTGTTAATTAATAGATGAATTAATATGCAATAATAACCGTGTGTCGGACACCGAGCAGCTGCCCGTGTAGTTGGACATTGCACTGCGGCTGGATTTGCTTCTTCACGAACGAGCAGTCTCAGCGATAAACCTATAGAGTCTTGCACTTACATAACCTCCTTCACATGGAGATAACTCACTCAGAGAAGAATGATCCAATTAATTTTGCAACATTGTTAACAAAACCCATCCTGTGCATATTGCTCTTCAGATGCTAATGAGACCTTTCTGAAACCAGCAGCGTCCCCGGAGTCGCTCAATCCAGATGGATGGCTTCTCGTCGAATAGTCGCTGACTCCTTGCTTTCTATTTATTGCCAACGCTGCTCCTTAATTACTGGAAACTATTCTTGTAGGTAATCTGTAGCACGTGTGAATGTATGAACCGGTTTAGTTCCAGGCAGTTAACGAGCTTCCAACCCACACTGCGGTGGGTTTGGGGCATGGGATAGTGTGCTGCAGGAAGGAACAGGATTTATCAGATATGGGGTTCTCACCATGGAGCGTATAGTTTCTATTTAGGACATGTACAGTCCCCATGTACATAACTCAAACAGAACATAAACTGTCACAAACCTTTATTTCAAAGATTTGATAATAAAAAATCTTTACACGTTGAAATAATTATAAAGATGACAAATATTTTAGACGCAGCGAAAGTCAGTGTAATCTGTAAGGCACACAAATCTGAGCTCTCTGAAAATGGTTTAGGACTAATCTAATCAATGAACAGGAGTCAATGTTCTCTTCACAAAATCTTCAAGCGGAAATTAAGTTATATTTACTACTGAATGCACGATGTTAGAGCTCGGTTTTTTTGAGAAGTGGGGGGAGGATGAGATATGGGACACTTTCTGGAGAACTAAAGTGAAGAAAACAGCCCGGCGTTCCGCCTGCTCGCACTGGTTAATACACACCAAATGTGGGAGGTTGTATGATAAGCACCCACTCCTCAGCATTTTACTTAAACAACGACACGATGGATGACGATGGTGAAAGCAACGCCTTTATACAATATCTGTGAACAGTCACACAGAGGAAGGGCGCAACCATAAAATTGTGGATACTGATGTAACAAACTGGCAAAACTTGCTGCAGTATCGTTCTCATTCTGCAAACGATACATTGAATTATCTTGCCGAGGCCAGAGCTGTGATGACTACTTCACGGTTTGAAGTCCATACTCAATTGTACCAGAGTGAATGTTTGCTCCTGGCACGGCTGGCAAGGGTATACAGATCAATGTAGGAATTAATTCGTTGACCGGCATGGATTGATACACATTAAGGGTGCCCCTTTGGCAGACCGAACGTGTAGTCATGACAATAGCATATGCATTCGAGATAGTTTCCCTTTCGCGATATTACTTTATTCCAAACCGTTTAATATTTTGATGAAGATGACTCGAGCTTCTCGGTAAAATGTGATCATATTGTTCGTATTGCTTTCTTTTCCGGAGAAAATCGAATAAAAAGCAAATCTCCTCGCGTCTGCCAAAAGATTTGTGATTCTGACCAAACTTCCAACATCACATTGCCGTCACGTTAAGAAGGAAACCTCACGGTCTTGTCGCTATTCAACGATTTGCAGCAAGGCCTGGAAAAGGTGCAAGAAAACAGGTTCACTCTGGGAGCTTGCCTCCAATTGCATTTCAACCTTCCGAACAATTCAGATGAAAAGACAGGGCACGCTACTAGACTGAAATCATTTCAACACACTGGGTCAATCACATCACAGAAAGAGGTGAGACATAAAAACAAAGTGAAAATACAGACAATGTAGTTTTCATTTGACTATTTACACATTGTCACCCTGGTGTTGAGGAGATTTTAAGTGTTGCCAGCTGCAAGTCCACAGCTTCTCTTTCATGCCGTATTTGGGAGCCAGCTCACAGGCGGAGCAGTAAACTTCTTGCACAACACAGAGAAAAGGGGAGTCCAGGACTTCATTTTTTTTTCGGGTTAACATCCCAGACCCAAATGTCGTCCCGTTGCTACGCGCTACATAAAGCCACTGCACAAGCTGAAGTTTCGATTATTGATGACTTGGAGAGAGGGCTGTTGCTGGCTGCGGAGTCCTAAAGAGGGTAACCCGAGGTACGTGATCTTGAATGCAAACTATTCTTCCATTCTGCATTTTTACGACCTATCACCACGAAAGAAGGACGAAGAATGCGTTTATTTACACCATTCCTCAAAGACGTCACACGGCAGAGTAAATTCTACCACAGGCTAATTACATCTGCCTCTTTCAGGCCGATTCGTCTCTTTCAGGCTAGGAATGTCGCTCAGCCTAATACCTTATTAAACAGACATTTGTTTAGATTTCTAAATGAACAACACAGAAAGGTCCATCGCCCTTTGTAGTCAATCAGCAAACATGTGGAGTTCAGATTGCAGCTCACATAACCGTGTAATTTAATGAATTGTCTGCGATCACAACGAAATATCCCAGAAATAATTTGTGTTTTGGAATGCTACCATTACTGATCACAATTAGATGCGTGTTTGCCGGTCCAAAGGTTTGCTAACGGTGCTATCGCTAGACAGGCTGCCAGATCAACTATCTCTTCTTCGGTTTACTGATTAGCGGGAGGATTGCACTCGGCAGAACCCAGTCTGATGGAAAGGAGTCTAAACGAAGTGTTTATTAAATGATCCCCAGTGTTGACATTTCGGTGGGGTGTTGTGAGTTATGAGACTTGGTCGTTTTAACGGGCAGGTTTGATTTTCTCAACCGGCGGGTTGAAGCTGAAAGCTCAAACAAATCACACCAGGGCGCCGTTTACCTTTAACTATTTACAATTATCGTCTATCTGAAAACAAAATGCTGTAGATATTGCTACGGTTAACTTCAAATTGCGGGCAAAAAAGTCAGGTTTTAACAAAGGTACTTTGGTTGTGTTGCGAAGTATAGGATGACAGAAATAGTGGAAAGGAAAACATAATGGTTAGTTCTGAGAGTCCTTCGGATTTTCTCGCTCAGTTTAATTGGTCGGAAAAAAAGTCCCTAGTTTCGTTTTTGGTGCCGGATTAATTTATCGGTTTCTCATCTATTGCTATAGTTTGTCTTTCCTTTTGTTTCCGAGTTAAACCAATTAGTCTATTTACAAATTCAATAGGGACTATTTTCAATGGCTCAAGTCTGGCCCCGCTGAGTGGAAGTCAGTGGAATTGTGAGCAGTGCCAGTAGTTAAGGCAGGTGTGGAATAGGAACAGAGTATCCTAACGCTTAGGTGTGAGTTGATTATTCAAATATAGAAAGATCTGGGCAAATCGGGAAAGGAGGCAGGATCTGTGGGCAGTTAAATCACTACGCATGTCCCCAGCGCCACTCAAAGTGTTCGCGTCCCACCACTTCCTCACTCTCGCAGTCTCCATTCTATCTTTCTCACTGTACTTCAGCCAGACTACATCCGCGCTGGGATTGTATTTTTAGGGCAAGCTTTGATGCTCGTTTATTGTACTGTGCCTCCATGATGTTAGGTGCGGTGAAGATGGAAGGACACGAAGCTTCCGACTGGAGCAGCTACTACGGGGAACCGCAGGAGGTAAGTCAAAGTAACAGTTGCACCTTATTTTGAGGTGGGCACTTGCGGCATCAACCAACAGATCACATAAAGAGCGCGGATTATAGTGCGATTTAATATTAAGTCATCTTTAGAGGCATTTTGCCGAGGGACTCTTTCTTAAAATCGGACAATGTTCTGTCGAAGTATATCCAACGGGTGTTACATGTCTCAAAATGACGGGATACCAAACCTTCATAAGTAGTTAATAAAAAGAACTGCTTGGTGTTGTGTGTTTGTGTATTCGATACAGGAGCTAATGAGTCACAAAGTTACTGACCACGGGGTGGCATCAGAGAGAGAGAGAGAGAGGGAGTGAGTGAGAGCCACTCTCAATCCCGCTCCAGTGTTTATGAGGCCGGCCAGAGATCAGACAGGGCATCTTAACAAGTCATCAACAATAACCAGTAGCACTATTGTATCTTACTGCAGGGAAGAAGCTGTTCCAATTTTACATTTTATTTTAGGAGGCGTGGCTTTCTCACCTCAGTTCAGTGTAATGAGTCCGAAGGTGTTTTCCACCACCCCCTCTCTCTCCCAGCGTGTTGTAAAAGTTAACTTTCCCGTCAACATCGCTGGTGACCCAAGTGTAGAGCGTTCTGAATAAAGCAAAATAAAACTCGTCACCCTGCCCCGTCAAACTAACACCTTTCTTTCTTTCTAATGTGAAGGCCTATTCGACGGTGCCAGTGAACAGTATGAACCCGGGACTGGGCAGCATGAACAGCTACATGAGCATGAACAGCATGGGCTCCGGCGGCAACATGACCTCGGGCTCCTTCAACATGTCCTACGGGAACCCAGGGATGGGCACGGGGCTAAGCCCGGGCATGGCCGCGATGCCAGGCGGCGGGGCGGGCGGTATGGGCGGCGGGGTGACGGCCATGAGCCCGAACCTGAGCAGCCAGCAGGCGTCCATGAGCGCGCTGAGCCCGTACTCGAGCCTGAGCCCGGCCCTGAGCCCCATGGCCTACAGCCAGAGTAACCTGAGCCGGCCCAGGGACAGCAAGAGCTTCCGGCGCAGTTACCCGCACGCCAAGCCGCCGTACTCTTACATCTCGCTGATCACCATGGCGATCCAGCAGGCCCCCAGCAAGATGCTGACCCTCAGTGAGATTTACCAGTGGATCATGGACCTGTTCCCGTATTACCGCCAGAACCAGCAGCGCTGGCAGAACTCCATCCGCCACTCGCTCTCCTTCAATGACTGCTTCATCAAGGTGGCCCGCTCCCCGGACAAACCGGGCAAAGGCTCCTACTGGACCCTGCACCCGGACTCGGGAAACATGTTCGAGAACGGCTGCTACCTGCGACGCCAGAAGCGCTTCAAGTGCGAGAAGAAGTCGGCGCTGCGGGCGGACGGAGCGCGCAAAGAAGCCGCGCCTCAGGGCAGCCCGGCAGCCGCTGGCAGCCGCCCCGGGCCGCTCGCCCAGGCCGAAGGCACGCCGGCCCTCAGCGACTCGAGCAGCTCGTCCAGCCCAGACACCGAGCTCGGCAAGCCGCAGGCTCCGCTGGCCAGCTCGGGCCCGGCGCTGGCTGGAGGCCCGGCCTTGGGCAACGCGCTCAGCCTGAGCCCGGGGCCGCCGCCCCTCGGCCACGTGTCGGCCGCCGACTCGCAGCAAGTACACCACCTGAAGGGAGAGCCGCATTACTCCTTCAACCACCCGTTCTCCATTAACAACCTCATGTCATCCGAGCAGCAGCATCACAAGATGGACTTGAAGGCTTACGAACAGGCCATGCATTACTCCAGCTACGGGAGCAGCGGGCTGGCCCTCAGCTCCATGGGCAAGGGCAGCATGGAGCCCTCGGTCCTGGCCAGCGAAGCCTCCTACTACCAAGGTGTGTATTCCAGACCTGTTCTCAACACCTCTTAGTTTTACACGCAAAATAAAGGAGCTTAAACCGTCAGATCATCATTGACACTTTGCCCCCTTTCGGGATTGCTATTTCAGCACCGTTGTGTGCAAAGACTGTTACTTTACAAGATTTAACATGTATCAAAAACTGCAAGTGCAAAGTAGCAGCAGAGTTTGACGACGAATCACGACTGTACATTTCGCGGAGAATATCTCGCAAACAACTGCAGAATGTATTTAATTTTTTTTTAGAACCGTGTTGTATAATTCTAGAATTCGTTATGTGATCCTGTACCTCTTTCTCCGCGTCCACTTACTATTCCCAGAGGCTGCCCGCAAGTTGTGACAAACCCAAGACTTGTCTCGACCACTTAAAAAAATGAGCGGGAGAGAGATGAGCGTTAGGGTAAGCATGGGGGTTGAATAAAATGAGCTGCTTGGAGAAAATGACTCTGTGTTAATTCTATGAAACTGCTCTATTAAAAAATCTCTACAGGACGCTGTGCAGTTTTAGTGAAAAAAAGACGAAAGCCGTTTCCCGTTTCATGTGTTCATGTCGATTCATTGGCAATTTTTTTTCAAAGCGGGTTGATTGTAAAAATGAACCAAATGTTACCTGCATCAGGAACCAGGAAAAGTTACTATATTTTTCGTTCCGCGATGCCTTTTAACTCTTATTTCCATCCAGTGTTAATGCACTTTCCCCCCCGTTTTTAGATGTCTAGAAATGTTGGTGTTAGCATATAGCCAGGCGGGCTCTTGCGGCTTTTCTCATTGTGCCTAATTTATTGCATGATCTACTCTAGGTCCTTTCTAGTTTTAAGTTGTTGAAAAATAATGATACAAATTACAAATGGAATTTAAGGAGTTGTTAATTTTGTATTTGTAATTCTATGAAAATGAATAAAATTATTTTGATTTGATGAGAAAAATAAAAAGGTTAATTCGCACCTACTTTGTGGTTTTGTTGTTAATCACATCACTCGCCAATAAACAGTTAAAAATATTCCCTTCAGTATTACAGTAAAACTAAGTAATTTCTATTGATGAAATCAGAAATCTGGCACTTAAAACATTTTTAAGAAAATGTCAGTGCCAAATCAATGATTATAACTATCGCGGAATGCTTAGACAATATTTAGAGAAAAAAAAGTCGAGTTTTAGTTTACTCATCACTGGCTACTATATAAAATAACCCCTGCTTTTGTTGCGTACAAATATCGTTTCCAACATTAAAAAGTGATCAGGTTCACAGCGAATGTTTTCGACTAACTCCAGCAGGTAATTCCCAAAACCGAGAACAAATGTGGTAGCGCCCGAAGGAACTGTATTTGGATTTTCCTACAATCTTATCTTGATAAAATAGAATAATTTCATTACTATGTCTCCGATGATTAATTTACAATTAATGCCTGAATTTTATTTTTGAAACAAAACATTATAATTTGCCATTTTTTAAACAAAATAACCAAAGGACAATAATTCCAGCGCGTCGTCTTTCGTTTTCAATGAAACGTACATGTGCTTTGAGCGTCTAAATATCAAAGTGCACCAGAAAACCAAGTCGTTCGGAAGATTTTGAGAAAGACCATCTGCCAGTTTAGGATTTGTATTTTCAAACAGGAACCTGGTTCAGGCGCTATTCCTGAAGACGAAAAGGCCGAGACTGATTTCATTTCGCAAGATAAACGCATTACTGCGAAACAGTTCTAAAATTACAGTTAAGATGGTCAGTTATTGAAATGATCAGTGGGTTTATTGCATTTTCATATATATGTATATTTATATATATGTGATTTCATTGGCCCTTGTTTCAGAAACGGTCGCCTCTGATCCCAATATGTTTTTCACTACCGAACGGCGTGTATTATCCCCGATTATTTGTAAAGTCTGTGCTGAACAGCTACAATTGCAGTGTTTTCCTTTGTCACGCTGAGAATAAGTCCGGAGCATTGTCTATTACAAATGTTACAATGTGTGATAGAATTACATTTCTTTGTATCTGGGTACAAAAACATATTGTAATTTCGAACCACACAAGTGGATTTTAGATTTCTCTTTGATCACTGTTCACGGGCGGGACACACACACATTGTCAGAGTAACCGTGAAATTCTTTTAATTATCATGTAATTGTCCCCTGATGAGTGAAAAAAGTGTAGCGTGAAATTGAGAAGAGCGAATTCTCGGATTATCCTTGAGTGGACACGTTGGCTGCACCAACATTCCTAGGTCACAATTTATTTTCTGTAAACAACATCTTTCCAAGGAAGTGGAGGAAAATTACGGTACGTAGCTAATTACATTGAAAATTCATGCTGTGTTGCCTGATAAATCAGTTCGTGTACAACTGAGAAGCAATGGCCACATTGTTATTTGTTTGCATCCTCGCAGTTAAATTACTTTTTATAGAAAGACTGATTCTTATTGTTTAGTACACTGTAAGGAGTTAATATTCGATAGCGAGTGTTTGGATTTTTCTTAATAGGTAAAATTAACTCCAATAATCAAGTTGAATAGAGATTTTGGTGGTAAGTGTTGTGGTACTTTGATATGGGTCTCAGAATTCCATTGTATATCATTCAACTTTGGTGGGCCGTGTCTATGAGTTACAGATACCTTCATTAAATAACAGAGAATTTTCGCCTATCTGCCACCCGCTGTGCCTTACACTTCTAAATTTTACAAAATCCATTCCATGTGCTTTCGCAAAAGCATTTGTGAAACATGGCGTTGGGTCGGGATGTGCGTTTTTAGCTTTTCAACAGAAACTTTATTTTAGGGTTTGCAAATTCATTAGGATGTTAGAAGCCCATAGTTACTGTATTACATTCACTTCCGAATTCTAGCATTAATCTTGCCGGCCGCGTATGGCTGCTGTTCTATTCTAGATAATGGCTGGCAATGCTTGCTGGAAGTCTGGGATTATTGGATCTACAACATTGATTTAAGTTACGTTTTCTTCTTTTATACTAATTTAAGATTCGAGGATTAGAAGTAATTATTGTAAATATAGCATTTGCTTACCGTTGTGAACATAAAAATTGTCTTATTCACATTAACTTCTGATACTGTGAGAACATTCCGGCAAAATAAGTTGTTAAGAATTTTGTTGAACGTTCTTGGGTTGTTCTCAGTGCCAAAATACAAGAAGAGTCAAAACCTGATGGTTGGATGTAAAATCGAGGAGTACAGGCAGTGCTTGTTTCCTTTGGTGCTAAAGTCAATAGGAGATCCGACCGTTCAAAGTATGCAGAGCCCTTATAATCTCACTCCCCTCCCCCACTTTACCATCAGAACATCAGTAGCTTTCATTGCACCACCGCCAACAGAGCAATTCCCCTTTTACAGTAAACCTGGCAATTATATAAACGTGCTCTGAAAGGGGAAAGAATTGGGTACTGTTCGATTCTCAAACATGACACTGAAATGACGTGTAGTGGAGTGATGTTTGTTGATTTCATCAAACATTTATCTAACATTTTTTAATGTACATATACGTTAACCTAATGAGAAGAAGATGGATGTATTTCCACCTACAATCTAGGTGTCATCCTTAGCTTCCCAGTCAGCGCACTGTCCTAATGCAGTTTCAATTTTCAGTTCTTCACATATCGTAAATGGAATCGACAAGAAATGATACGTACGTCAAATCGAAAAGCGAAGAAAATTATAAAGGTTATTGAAATTATAGCACTTAATGTTAGGAGAAACTGCCTTGTGTAATTTTATTGTACTCAAACGGATTTTCCAAAAAAAAGAGTTGTGTGGCTGTTAATTGCATTGAGAACTTCGCTCTGTTTTCCAAGCTTCTTCCCTTGTTCCACTGGGTTTATTTTCTCTTTGTGTATTCTAATCTATTTTAATCTATCAATGTGGAGCCATGAGCTCTTCGAGTTAATAATTTTCTTTATAAGACTAGCCAGATTCAAAGGTTTGTATGGCGCCTATCTGAATATACTGGCGGCTACACGTGAACCTTACGCTGTTTTATGCAGTAAATATGGTGCGGCGCTGATAGAAAGGCAAGAGCTTCTAATTTATGCCAGATGTATTCCTATTACATTAATACTCACAGTTGGAAAAACAAGTACGATTAAATGTGCATTAAAGAACGGAATAATGCAAAGGAAGAAATGGGTTGGACCGCGTATTCTGTTTGATATCAGTTGTCAACTGACTTGTGTAATTTGTACTGAAACCAGTCGAATATAATTATAATGTTTGTTAATTTGTCTAAACACACTATCTTTTTCTAAGGAAGGTAGTTCTGGTTTTAACACGTACCACTCCACAAAAGCATACTATTTGTTTATTAAATAATGTTAAAAATAAGACTGGAGTTGGTGTGCGCGGAAAGAGACAGTGGCGTGAATCATCTTTCTGAACTTTCATCATAACTTTGCGCAAATAACTTCCTCCCAATCGATAGATTTTGAGATTATTTTGCAATTTGAATACAAAAATTGACGTATAATCGACCAACAGAGACCGGGCGAACATTTTGCGCAAACGAATACGAGGAAGAACAACAGGACACTAAGTTTAACTCAATCAGCGGTCCCGTCAAAGTACTGGAAATAAAACACCAACTCAAAATAAATAGTCAATACTTAACAAATGCAGAAGTTATCTCGATTTCTAAGGACTTAGTATAAGGTAGATATAAATTATAACGTAGTCATTTCATCGGCAATTTTAATTTTACTGTGAAAACCAAAATCTGAGCGTAATGCAATCACAACACATTCCTTTGAAATATATTTTAACAAAGGGAACGGCATATATACATCCACCTTCCTTCTTTGCTATTTCTCAATTTTCACAGCACTTCGAGGTCACTTCTGTAAATGATAATATAACATTGGGTTAAAACGCTTTTCAGATTTAAAAGTTGGTGCGAAAAAATAGTTCAAAACATAAAGCAGCCCTTTTTTTAAGAACAGTAAAACCAGGTGGAACACGCGAAAATAAAAACAACCGAGTCTAACTTTCCAGACACAAGATCGAACAATGTCGGTTAATTGACACTCAGCCTTCTATGTGTTTTTTTTCCAAGATAAATCTTCCAGTTTTGAGGGCGGCACAGAAATAACCAAGGCGGCTTTGAGCAAGGAGACTTTGCATTCTCCTGATATTTAACATTGAGTTCCATCCCACAAGCTTCTTGGGTTCAGTCTTGTTCTTTTGCCCCTTTGTGACTTCTAATCCACCAGACTGGGGCCAAGACACTTTCAATGCGAACTTTGAACAGGACAAACAACGTCTCCTGACCTCTGACAGGAACTGACTTTAACAATCACTACCTGGGTAAAGAATGTGTCTCTGTAAAATAAAAATACTCTATAGTGCAAACCGCTACCAATGTTCATGAAACGAAAACGGCCGATCTCTCACGTAATTGCTTTTATTTCAGGAGGAGTCAAATAATTTGCTACAACTAGTATTATTGGTTCAGCTCACCTTGCAAATTACAACCGTGTAAGGTGTAAACAAAAACCTCAGGTCGTACAGGCGGCAAACACATTCGTGAACTACTTCTCATTAGAATTTTGTACATCTAGTTAAGATTTCATTTCCGCATCTTTGGGCGCAGAACCGAAAACAATCTAAGTTTTGCTCTGCGTGTGTTTTACGCTTCTGGATCTGGAAATAAATTACGATCAGAAGATCAAAACTGAGAAATATATACAAACTGTTAATCTCAGGACATTCTGAAGACTAGCGCCACTTACACGTCAGGTATAATATTTGATGTTAGAGGAGAGATTTTAAAATTCAGATACACTGGACAAAGTGCACATAGACAACGGACATAGTGCAGATAGACGGTGGACATATACAGTATACACATTCAGCGGACGACAAACTTTAGCCTATCAAAAAGTAGGAATTAAGACTGCCCTGTTTATCATTAAT